TCTTTTTTGTTTTATTCTCTCTGTCTCTCTCTCTATCTCTACCTCTCTCTCTCTCTCTCTCTCTCTCTCTCTCTCTTCTTCTCTTCAGGCCTCACAAACATTAGGGTTTTGTTTTGCCCGGTCCTTTAACAAGCAAGAGAGAGTCCTGGAAATGAATGGCATCCACATTTCTTCAGATACCGCCCTGTCTCTCCCAGCAGCTCTCGACTAGTAAAGGAAGTTTTCAAAACCATTTGCGTGCGGCGAATTTGCCTGAAGCAGAATCATTCAGTTTCAATGGTCCTCCAAGCTCGGGGCTCCATGTGAGTAGTCTGTTACAAAGCGATATTAGAACCTGAGATCATCGTCTTGTTTTAGCTGTACTGTTTTATGGGTACAAGCGTAGAATCTACTTCACCTCAATTGCATCAAACACCAAGAAAAGCGGCTCTGCTGGTTGCTGTCAAAGCTACTACTCCAGAATCCTCTCAGATAGACCTTAAACCCTGAAACCCTAAAACCTATAAGCCCTAAAACCCGAAGCCCTAAAACACTAAAGTCTGCACCTGTTCTCAGCCATCCGGAAGCGCCCCCGATTTTTAGAGCCCCCATCTCCTAAGACAGCACTATCTATAGGTACGTAGATAGCATGCTTGCGTCTTTATATGGTTGGCTGTCGGAATTACTTCTGGGTGCATGTAGGAACCCTAAGAAGAAGCAATGGTTTTGACAACCCTAAACCCTAACCCCCCCCCCTTACCCCGAATATACGTATAGTCCTCCTTAAGTAGATAGAACATGGACTTCCCAAATATCAGAATGACATCCCCATACACACTATAGTCTACCTACTTAGCCGGGACTATACCTAGGGAAACCACCAGACAGGTGAGTAGCATTTTATTTGGGGGTATTATGGTACCCATTATAGAGTAAGATTATATCCTCCTTTGGGGTATAGTATTTTATATAAGGAACATTATCTTACTAGGTTGAACCACCAAAAAAACACTACTCAGGTGATCAATGCCGCCGAGATGGCTGGCCGCGACGCTGCAGAAGCCTTGGCAAAAGCGGAGTTTGAGGCAGGAAAGTAGGTTTAGGGGGTTGGGGTTTAGGGTTTAGGGTTTAGGGTATGGGTTTCAGGGTTTAGGGTTTAGGTTTTAGGTGTCTATCAGCCATCCCCTACAGAAAGATCTGGATGTGTGTATGTAGGGTTTAGGGTGTGTGTAGATATCTACATATGTATGTTGGATTACTGTGTGTGTGTGTGTGTAGATGTGTGCAGACAGGACCCCGCAAATTATTCCGGCCAGATTGACGATTGTTACCCCAGCACTGTCATACAGTTGTGAACAAGTATGGGCATTGAACTTTTCAGGGAATCCTCTGACTGAAAGGCTACCATTCCGAACCCCCACACATGAATTGGAGGCTGAAGCAGAGAGCATTCTCGGAAACGCCAATCTGACCCAAGATGCCATCGACCATTTTCTCATCAAGATTGAGAAGATGGCAGACATGTGCGGGTCCTCTGAGGGCCATGGACTTGCTGAAGATGAAGCTTCAATCATGCATTCTGGAAACATGACCCTTGAAGAGGCCAGGGTTGCCAAGGATCTGGCAGATTACGCGGAAGGCTTTTGCCAATCAGAGGTGCTGGATGTGGACTTCTTTGTAGGCCGCCTGGCAGACGAGTCCCCAGAATGTAACGCCTTAGTGGGAAGTTCACACCTGATGCAAATGCACAAGCACTTGTCGATTCTGGACTTCTATGCCAAGAGCGTCATGGTGCTGCATGATGAGCACAACAAGCTTGGCCACCATTTTGGTAAAAGGCTCCGCCAAGACCAGAGACCCTCTGCCAAGGAGATACAGCCGCTGCTGATGCAAGCAGTTTCTGGGTTGCTGTGGAAGAACTTAATTTAAGTCACCCTAACATGGGTATATAATGGTACATGATAGGTTTTCCTTACTATTGATTATTATAATATACAGTCGCTTGAAATAAGTTCCTGAATAGCAACCCAGGTTTTGGATCATGGTGGCAGCAAGCCACGCATGGCAAGGCTGCTGTATTTGGATCGGCTTTACTATGACAAGGTCCATAGCTTCACAAAGGACAAATACTGTTTACGGTTTAGGGTTCAGGATTTCTGGTTTAGGGTTCACGGTATAGGGTTGTCGGGTTTAGGTTAGGGTCAGCTCTACTATGACGAGGTCCATGGCTTCACAAAGGACAAGTACTGCGACTCCAACTACCGACTTAGAAATGAGCAGCCGCAGCATTGGATCAGCCAGAGCAAAGAAATCCAGAACTACGTGGACTGCATTTGTGTGACTTTCTGGTTATTAGTGAGGCATTCATGAATGAATTTACGATTGCAGTGCTTGAAAAGAATCCTCAGTAGTGCTCTCAACATTCAATTTCTTCATTCCTTTCTGTTGGCCGCCCTAAGCCCTACACCAGTATAGACCAATATACCCCTGGCTTCCATATCAGTTTCCATTTGCTTCTCCATTTCCTACGAGCTACAAGTAAGTCAATAGTGAAGCTAGGTAAGGGAAAGCCAAGTTATAACAAAGCAACATCCTTTAGCTGTTGTACTTGGTTTTTAACGGAACACTACTGTCTGTAATGTACCTACCTAGGACGCCACCCCTATAACCCCCTTTAGAGGGACCCTATGGAAAACAGTAGTTTCCATTTTCTTTCCACTCAGACCCTAGACCTGCACAGACCGTGAGACCCTATAGAAATCTAGAGTCCATTTCATGTTCCATTTTCGTCCCCACTTGATTTTCCATGGTTCAAGTTATTAGGACCTGTACACCAAACCTAAACCCTAAACTCTAAACCCTCCACCCGAAACCCTAAACCCCTGTCCCTACGCATCCTGTGAGGTGAAGCAGCAGCCATCCCTGTTACTGGATTGTTGTTCAGGAACTTAAATTAAGTTACCATAATGAGTATATATAGTAAATAATATGGTTTCCACAATATTGTAACTTAAACAATAGTACTCCTCAAGTAGATAGAATATGGCCCTGGGTATATTATAATAAGCTCCCTATATACCCCATATGCTATCTACTTAAGGGGGACTATAAGTTCCTTAACAACAACCCAGGCTATGTGATGCACAGCATGCAGAGCCATTGGCCCGCTTGCAGCCGAAGGCTGGTGGCGTCTCAACAGTCTGGGCACAGGGTTGAATGTTTGGAGTCTACGGTTTAGGGGTTTAGGTTGTTAGGGTGTTACGCTTTTAAGGGATTCGGTTTTAGGGTCTAGGTTTTCAGGCTTTCAAGGTTTGGGGTTGTGGGGTTTCGGATTTTAGGGTTCAGGCTTTTAGATTTGCAGGTTTAGGGTTTAAGGTTTCGGATGTATCAGGGCAGATGCCCAGGGACCGCAAGCAAGTGGGACACACAATCGAAAGACCCTTAGGTTTCTGGTTATTACATAACTGTCTCTGTATCTCACTGTTCACCCCCAAGCTGCAATGTTTTGAAGAGATTCTGCCAAGCATGGTACTGCATACTCCGATCTTTATGATCCAGAACCAAAGCCACAACTTCTAAACCCCAAACCTAAGCCCTGAAGCCTAAACCCCAAACCTAACCCTAAACCCTAAATCCCAAACCTAAACCCTAAACCCCAAACCCAAACCCGAAACCCTAAACCCGAAACCTAAA